CCCTGCCCCCCCGCCCCCGACGGTGGGTGTGGCCCGGGGGGGGGTCCGAGGTGAGGCACAAAAACCCATTTTGGGGGTTTAGCCCACGGGCTCTCGCTGCGCAACCCCCCTTTTTTTTCTTTTTTTTCTTTTTTTGAAGGGGGGCGGGGGGATCCGGAGCCGAGGTCAGAGGTGCCCACCCCCGGACCCCCCACCCCCCCGTCGGGGCCCAAAGGCCTGAGCTCAACAACCCTGGTTAACGAGGACCCCTATTTTCAAGTTTTGACCAACAGACCCAAAAATTAAACTAGGATTTGGGGGTCAAATTTAATGTTTTTTCTTTTGTGCCTGTTTTTGTTTTGGGTCAACGTTTGGGTGCACCAAATTTGGTCTCATTTGGAGCATATTGATTGCTGGCAAGTTTGGATAAAATAACCCTTGGGTTTTCTTATAAATAGCATGACAAGTTGTCTGAAAATTTAATTGTCCTTTAACCTATCTCCCCTATAGAGGACTGTGATGTTCTACGAATACAAGCATAGGAGGGGAGACGTAAATGGTTGCCGTGTGCTAGTGGATGTCAGCAAGGCCGTAACGTGAGAAGATTGGCGGCATTACGAAGTGAATGCCGACGGACGAACATGCCTGCAAGTGACTGTCCACCTAGGGTTCGCGCGACGTTTGCTGTGCGACTCTTCATCTTCGTCATGAAGACCGGTTCGACAGTTCCCAACCAGAGGCGTTGTCGCTCTCGCCGGGGACATGGTGTGCATGCTGGTTTCCTTGCTAGCAAAGGTGTTCAAGGACCTCCTTCGTCGCCCGTCCACATTTTGAGTTGTCGTCGATACACCGTGGAGCCAAGAGACGATCCCCATGGGGATGTTCGCGTCCTGCAAGATGATGTCGTATGAGGTTTTGTGTGCATGCCGCCTATTTCAACTTCCTCGCTTCCGTAAGGCGCAATTTTTTCGTTACGTGGTGAATGTGTGAGGGAGTGGGAAGTGGTTCTTTCCTTTGTGTGACATGTGTCTGCACCAACCACGCGTGCACATTATCGCACATGCGCGCGCGCGCGC